GGTTTCAGAAATTTTATGAATTCATGAAGAGCATGATGTTCCTAACCATTTCTATATAGTACATTACATGACTACACTGTTACACGAAGGTCATTTTAAACATGTCTTCATGACTTGCTATATTGTCAACAGGAGGTAATCATCAAGAAGTTAGCCGGTGAAAGACTGGGGATGAACATCAAGGGTGGCGTACAAGGCTCTCCTGGAAACCCGCTAGACAAGTCTGATGAGGGTGTATTCTTATCTAAAATAAACTCCAATGGAGCAGTTCACAGAGATGGCAGACTGAAGGTGAGGACATGTGGAGTAATTTTTTTTTCAGACGATTACAGTGATATTTCTCTAGTCTTTATTTCTTAATGGCAGCATAAAAGTAAGAAAAATTAAAACTTGCTTGCTTAGGGTAAAAAGCAAAAAAAAAAAGAAAAACTTTATATAAGTGTTATCTCCGTTAGCAGGAACAATTGGTACAGAGCACTTTCAGGAATGAGAGGTTCTGAGTAATGAGATGACTCAAAGCGGGAAAAAATCCTTCATCCCTGGAATTTTCCGGAATTTTACGGGTGCCGGGAAAATTTTCTTGGAAGTTCTAGAAATTGCACATTGCACCCTCTCTCAAACCCAGAGAGAAATCCCCCTTCTCCAAAAATTTTCCTAGTACCCGAATTTTCTTGGAATTTTCCAGAATGATGCAATATTTTTCTACAATCAAAGCTGGAAAAAAATCATCCATCCCTGGAATTTTTTGGGTACTGGAAAAATTATCCCATATTTTTGCAGAAAATGTGTTCCCCTCAGAAAATCGATCCCCAAAGCGGAATGTCAAAGTGTGATTTATGGGAAAGGTTATGATATAGGTAAGTGATGCTGGCCTCTGTAAAATGACAGGGTTAACCAAATTTTGGATATTATTGTGGAAGGGATGTAGCATAGTAAAAAACATCTTTTGCAGCAGTGAAAGTAAGTGAAGAAGCTATGAATGAAAAGATGTGTGTATGTATACTCTTGTGTCTGGTCATCCAGCATTAAGTGAAAAAAAATATTAAGAAAAGGACATTTTGAATATAGTTTTGAATGTTTTTAAAATACATTTGGATATTAATTTTATGCCCAAAAATTATATTTAAACCTCTTGTAATTGTAGTATTTAAAAATAGAAAAACTTAGAAAAAATACAGGTAGTTATATTAATTTTTAGATTACTGTTGTAAATTTTAATAATAATCAATATTTTATTGTCTTTAGAAACTACAAGCATGCTGTCATATAATTATTTTATTTTATTTTTTTTAAACCTAGGTTGGTCAAAGGGTGTTGGAGGTAAATGAACACTCTCTGTTGGGGATCTCTCATGAGGAAGCTGTAAATATAATGCGCACTGCCGGCTCCACCATCAGACTTGTTGTGTGTGATGGCTACGACAATCAACTGGTGGGTGATGTTGCTATAACCTCATTCTTTCTCACTTAATATTTTGCTCTGCTAGATTATACAATCCCCTCTATAATTATGTCTAGTTAATTATTATTTGGATATTTAGCTCTATAATTTGTGTTTCTTATATACTGTACACATACTAACTTGTATTTAAACTAGTACAGTGGTCCCTCGGTTAACGAACGGTTCGATTAACAAAATTTCGGTTAACGAATTACCTCCCATAAGGAACTTCAATTCGGTTAACGAACAAAACTTCGATTAACGAAATCCTTACGACACACGTTTTGTTGTGAGCATCAGCTGATGGGCTGGTCTGCCAATTCAGTAATCTTTTCTATGTTTACATTCATTTCCAGTGGAGTAAATATCAAGAAACTTGTGCTCTTTAATATTTGTGCATTTTTTATATTAAAATTATTGGTCATTCTAAAATTTAGCCATCCAAGTTCTGTCTACATAAAGATTTTCAACTAATATTTTTGGCTCGATATATGTACCTTTATTCATTTATTGAAACTCATTTACATGCACACACTGTCCTAAGGGCTAAACTGTACTGTGCATGTAATCAAAATAATGTACAAAATGATTACTGTACTAAAATTTTTGTCTAGTGCAAACTATCTCATGTTTACATTCAAATTAATCACTATCTTATAAGAATTCCAGCAATGTAAATTATATTCTCCCTGGTCACTTCTATGACATTTTATAAGCAAAAAACAAAAGCTCAATCTAAAGGACAACTAAACAAATAAATACTTCACTAGACCTTCAGCGCTAACTGTCAAACGTGTCACTGTCACACCCCCCCCCCCCTCCCAGCAAGGGTTTGGTGGTTATGCAGTAGGCTTTAAGTTTTTATCTTATATAATATCACAGACTAAAGTTAGGAGAATATAATTTGCATTGCTGGAACCCTTGCAAGACAGTGAATAATTTGAATATAAACGTCATATATTTTGCACAAGAGATAAAAATTTTAGTACATTAATTTAGTACATTTTAGAAATGTAAGTTTTTTCAGCTGTATTTTTGGGTAGATTTACATAAATTTCTTCATTTATTTTCATTCATTTACATGCACACACCATACTAAAAGAAACGTAAAAGAAATAAATGACAAGTGCAAACCTGTACTGTACATGTACTAAATGATTATTGAACTAAAATTGTTGTCTAGTGCAAATTATAGCTTGTTTATATTAAAATTAATCACTATCTTACAAGAATCCCAGCAATGTAAATTATATTCTCCCAGGTCATTTCACTGGCATTTTAAAATGAGAGAAGCTTAGTCACTTAGGACTGTTAAATAAACACACGAGACCTTCGACTCCAACTGTCAAACCCCCTCCCTCCCTCCCTCCCTCTTCCCCAGCCAGGGTTTTAGTCTTACAGTTTTTATGTTTTATAATATCACAGACTAAAGTTAGGAGAATAAAATTTGCATTGCTGGAACACTTGCAAGACAGCGAATAATTTGAATATAAACGTCATATATTTTACACGATAAAAATTAATCACCTGTATCACATTACAGTAGTGATTTATGAGGAAGAGTGTGTGTGTATATATATATATATATATATATATATATATATATATATATATATATATATATATATATATATATATATATATATATATATATATATATATATATATATATATATATATATATACAGTGGTACCCCACTTAACGCGGTCAATTGAACCCAGAGGGTCCCGCGTTAAGTGAAAACCGTGTTAAGTGAATAACAGAACATATGGGATTAATTCCAATAGAACCCAGCCCGACCCCCAAACTCCACTTTTTGACGACAAATAACTATGTTGTAGTAAAAATAACATCTTAATTTTATGATGGTACATGCACACAATTAATACTTAAGAGAAATACAGTCGCCAAGTTAATGTCCATTCAAATAATGGACTCAACTCCCTCCCCCTCTCACACTACAGTACACAGCCAGCTAACAGATGGTCGGTCGGTCCCTCCCTCCCCCCCCCCACCCCCCACCAACCGTCCCAAGGAGATGTGTGGGATAACCTCAAACTAAAGTTAGGAAAATATAATTGACATTGCTGGATTCCTTGTAAGACCAGGAATATTTTGAATATAAATGTCATATATTTTTCACAAAAGATAACATACTTACTCAGATTAAACATTTTATCTAAAAATTGTATGTTTAATGCAAAAAATATGTTGTTTATATTCAAAATGATCACCAAATTATAAGAATTCCAGCAATGTAAATTATATTCTGGCCGGATAATTTGTATGAATTTTATGAGCTAAAACAAATATCTACAGTTAATAAAAAAAAATATATATTCTTCAACACTATCTGTCAATCAAAGTACCCCACCTTGCCTCCCCCCCTCTTCCAACCGCAGGGTCAGTCCCAACCCTCCCCCCACCCCCCACCAATCCTCCATTCAAGAGTTTTTAACATTTAGTAATAAATAATACCTCAGATTAAAGTTAGGATAATATAATTGACATTGCTGGATTCCTTGTAAGACCAGGAATATTTTGAATATAAATGTCATATATTTTGGACAAAAGATAACATACTTACTCAGATTAAACATTTTATCTAAAAATTGTATGTTTAATGCAAAAAATATGTTGTTTATATTCAAAATGATCACCAAATTATAAGAATTCCAGCAATGTAAATTATATTCTGACCGGGTAATTTGTATGAATTTTATGAGCTAAAACAAATATCTTCAGTTAAAAAAAAATAATTCTTCACCGGGTAACAGATGGTCGGTCGGTTGGTCCCTCCCTCCCCCCCACCCCCCACCAACCGTCCCAAGGAGATGTGTGGGATAACCACTAAATTTTAATAAATAATACCTCAAACTAAAGTTAGGATAATATAATTGACATTGCTGGATTCCTTGTAAGACCAGGAATATTTTGAATATAAATGTCATATATTTTGGACAAAAGATAACATACTTACTCAGATTAAACATTTTATCTAAAAATTGTATGTTTAATGCAAAAAATATGTTGTTTATATTCAAAATGATCACCAAATTATAAGAATTCCAGCAATGTAAACTATATTCTGGCTGGGTAATTTGTATGAATTTTATGAGCTAAAACAGGCAGTCAGGCAGGGTGGCGGGTGGGGGGTGGTGCGAATCTAAAAATAGCTCTCGAGCCGGACACTCACCGCGCGTTGCTGTGGAAAAATCCGCGTTAAGTGAAAGTTCAGCTTTGGCAAGGCACCGCGTATATGCGAAAACGCGTTAAGTGAAAGCGCGTTAAGCGGGGTAATACTGTATATATATATATATATATATATATATATATATATATATATATATATATATATATATATATATATATATATATATATATATATATATATATATATATATATATATATATATATATATATATATATATATATATATGTATATGTATATGTATATGTATATGTATATGTATATGTATATGTATATGTATATGTATATGTATATGTATATGTATATGTATATGTATATGTATATATATATATATATATATATATATATATATATATATATATATATATATATATATATATATATATATATATATATATATATATATATATATATATATATATATATATATTGATATTGATATTGATTTAGGGGAATTTTAGGAGAGTTTCTGACTATGCATTTTTGGCTTTACTTTGTACGTATGTACTTTTCTGTGAGCTGGAACCAATTACCCAATATCCCATTGAAATAATGGATTCGGTTAACAAAATTTTCGGTTAACGAACGACTCTGTGGAACGAATTGTGTTCGTAAACCGAGGGACCACTGTATACTCTTTGTTATAAAAATATCTGAATTATTTTTGAGATGCAATTATTGTGATTTACATATATGTTTAAGGTTTATTAGCTTTTACAGTTCTTATTTAGTAAATAGTGTACAGTACTGTATGTTAATTTTTTGAGAAATGGTTCGGTTAAGGAAACTTATTGTTGTTATTAATTACATATTCAGGGATGCTACTTCTTTAATTGGGGTTCACAGATATACTCTACATGCGCAGAAAAATGTAAGTCATAGAGCAGTGCCTCAAGATATTATGATTTTCCCAAAGCTTTTTATAGTGTTACAGTAAAGAGAGTTCTAACATCAATCATTTGGGAAAAAACAGATTTATATATGAGAGGCACTTAAAATACTTATAAATTAAACATTTTATTTAGCAACATTATTGAAATATTTGGATCAAATCTATTTTAACTGGAACAAAAATAGTATACTGTACAGAGAATTGAAGGTATGAAAAAAGTGGGAAGGATGAAAATGAACTTGATTGAAATTGAAGTTCAACTCAGCAATGTCACTATTTCCCAGTTAATAGAAACCAACAATTTAGAATAAGAGGAAGGCAGAGAATATACAAATTTAGAGCAGTTGTATCTGCTGATGCCTTTTGAAAATAATATGTATCTAAAATAAATTGCACAGTCATCTGAAAAAAAAGAGGATATTTGAATGACGTGTGATACTGGTGTGGTCATACATGCACTGTATGTGCAGACAGTTCTAGGTGACAGGAAGTGACAGAACTCTTAATTATATATTGCATAGCTCTGAACTTGAGATTTTTCTCTTATTACAATTATATTTTTCCCATAGCTTATTAAAGTTTGGGAATTGAAGACCTTAAATCTAGTGGTACAACATGAAGAATTGATTGAGTGAAAATAGCTAAACATAAATGAGAAAAACTGGGAGATATTGAAGAAGTAGTATTAGTTTAAAAATGTAGAAAGTGCATCCGAGGAGAGTGAATATAAGAAATTGGGATGAGAATTAGAAAACGATTAGTGGGGCTAGTTAGAAAGAAAAGAATGACATAAAAACTTTAACTGCAAGTTTGAAGTGAGGAAAGTAAGGAGGAATACTGTACTTGGACTTGTAAAGAAGATAAAGTGATGAAAGAGTGTAAAAGATGATCAGATGAAAGGTGAGGTTAACACAGTTTTTTAGATAAAAATATAAGATTGCATTGGGAAGAAGCAAAGAGGGTGAAAGCTGAAAGGACACAAGGAAATAATATTTGAAAATAAGTGTGGGGGGAAAAAGGAACTGAAATGGAAATGTCGAGATTAATTTTAATAATTGGTGGATTTAACAGATGTGAGATTATCAAGAGTGTTTGCGTTTGGAATTGGGAGGTATGAAAAGTGTAAAGTTTAAAGAGAAATAAAGAAAGGTCAGTGGAGAAAAGATGAAACATACTGTAAGCCATTTAAAGAGTGGTAAGATGCCTGATGTGGATGGAATCCCTCAAAAATATGTTAGCAAATGTTGGTGAAAAGGTGATATTGATGATGAGTGTAATGGTTATGTATAATGGAGGGAAGTGTGTCAAAGGAATGGTGGAAATTGTGTGTAGTTTCTGTATGTAAAGGTAAAGACATTAAGAGGGAATGCTAAGACTAGATGAGTAAGTCTTTTAATTGTGCTAAGGAAAATCTATGGTAGAAACATTACTATGAATTGTTGCAGAAACATATGATACAAGAGGAAGAAGTAAACTAGACACAACAGCAATCAGGGGCAGATCCAATAAGGGGGTCCTTGGGGTTTGAACCCCTCCTTTTTTTCATCAGAAAATTCCAATACTTTTTCTTCAATGCAGTATTGTACTCAGGCATTTTTGTAAATTAAAAAGTGATTACTATTGACTTCAGAATATCTTCTAATATCAAGCGCACGTGGCTTCAAAACGGCCTCAAAATGCCCATGATATTGGACACACGCACATACACAGAAAAAGAGGCTGGGTGGGCTCGCTGTGCTTGCCTTGTTCCCCCACTCACAACTTGGACATCCCCCCTTTTGATATTCCTGGATCTGACCCCTGGCAATGGTGTACAGTACTTCACAACTATATTTGGGGTATATAGAATGCAGAGCATAAGAAATAATAAAATTAGGAGAAATGGAATTTAACAATGTGTCAGACAGACCTGACCAAGGTTTTCTGAGGTATTATGGATGTACAGTACAGTACTGAGAGAATGAAAAGTAAAAGATTGGTGAAAGAGTATATAAGAGGAGAGAAAGAACCAAGGGGGTGGCAAGATATAGATAAAGATGCATTACAAGCGAGGGGGATGAACATAGTGTAAGCAGCATAGAACATTATGGGGATGGTGCTGTACAGCAGTAAGAGTGAATGGGTGACAGCAAATAGAGAGAGTTAGTGTTGCTCTTGGTTCCTACCACCTTACAGCATAGAGGTAGACAGCTGGTAAATCTTGGAAGAAAATATTGTTGTTAAGGATTGTTAATAATCTATTTGGGAAATGCAGCCTATATATATGGAATTTTGAAGGTTTTTGTATAAAAAAAAAATTGTGTGGCTGTCAAATGTTTGGCCTGCTATTGATGAATTAATTATATAACTTTCATTATGTCATTCCTGAATTTTAAAAAGTTTAGATTAAATTTTCAGGTACAACAGATGAAGAATGAGGGACGTTTGGGCCATGAGTCTCGTAGCACCAGTCAAAGTGTCACTTCTCTTGACAGAGAAGATCGTGATACCAACCAAACACAAGTAATTAAAATTAAAAAATTTTTTTAGTGTAGGCTATTTTGTGTATCTTGGCCAATTTCAGTTTTAAGATGGTAATTAGTAGGAGTCTTTTTTCTTTTTTTTACAGATAGAAGATATTTCTCCACATTCATTTTTACTTCTTGCTCCGTAGTTTATTATGTAAGTCATCAGTAGTAACCAATTAGACAGAGAAGTAGAATCCTCTCCAAATAGAAGTCTTTGTATTGCTCAATACTCCCTTGTGTTGTAGACTTTGCTGTAATACCTAAAAGCTTTCTTAATCATTATGTGCAAAAGTAGTTGAAATACATAGGGAAGCAGTAATCCAAATCTGAGCCAGAGGAAAATGTCATATTTTATGACTATAAGCTGCTGGTATTTTCACATGTCCAAATACCCATAACATCAAAAGATACTCATTTCTTACAGCAGTTTCCAGTATTTTGAAGTGTAAATTGTATTCTTTGGGTTTTAACACCAAATAAGAATTTAATATATCACACTAAAGTATGATTTTGAATAAGTATGCTGTACCTTGGTAGACTATACAGCTTCCAGTCTTGTACCAAATGCATCATAAGAATACTAGTATGCATGTAGCATGGAGAGCATGTTATGGAAGGATACTGGAAAAACTTGATTAATGTAATATCCAAGTTCATTATTACATTGATTAAGACATAAGCTTGCTGCCTTTGCCTTAGGTTCATTTTGCAAATTTCTTTTAATGAGAAATGGGAAAAAGAAACAATAGGTAATTAATATATTCATAGACCATTGGAAAATGAGTTTACTGAAGCTAATGTGTATTGTACCAAGGCAGTAAGCTTTTCAGTGATTTTTCATTGGATTTCACTTAATAGCTTATTTTTGGTGGTGAAGTGTCTGATATAATTTATCTCTTTTTCTCCTAGGGGTTATTTTATGAAAATGCTTATGAATACAGTGCAGTACATAGACATATTGCCCTGAGCATAGACACTGTATGAAAGATTTTGCAGTGTTAAAGAAAGAACTTGGAAAGTAGTATTGCTATAAAGTCTCATCCTCCTTGTCAGAGTTGGATCTTTTCCAACTTGTACTTTGCCAAATTGGTTCTCTGTTTCCTTTGGCTCAGCATTTGTAAGACTTTTGCTGTTATTGTATGACATGGACACAGAGTGTTTAATCATCAAAGATAGATTCAGATAATATTTGAATCATTTACCATACCAATTATCTTAATTAGCCTTATTTTGTATTCATGGAAGGCAAAGATATCTTTAGCTTTAGTACAATAATCAGTGCCAGTTGCAGGTGACGAGTGATGAAAGAACGTAGGAGTAGTGAAATTAAGAAAGAATTTGCTTATAACATTCATATACTATAGAACCTCTATACATTGGAATTTGCTTCTTTTTTACTTTCTGAAATATTTTTAAAATTCTGGAAAATCCAGCATCAGTCCAGACAGTTTGTGTGTTCATACATTTGACTGAACATCTTTGCGTGGGTGTCGTATGTGTGTCATTCTGAGTCTTGCCGTCGTACGTATCGTATCAGTGTGCTGCACTCATTTACATGAACTTTTTATGTAAAGTACAAAATACCTTAACGGATACTTTAGGGTTGTAAGAAATTTGTTAAAATAATGTAGAGTACTGTATGTATTTTTAAGAAATGGTTAAAATAAAAAACTTATGAAAAGAACAACACTTGCTCTCTGAATGCTATACAGTGGTCTAATCAGATTTGCTGTAGGCCTAACCAAACAAAAGCCAAGACACTGCATATTTAAGCAGGCTGGTGTTTGCAGCTGATGAGGCAGTACCGCATTTGTCAGGTTTATTTATTAATTCATTATTATATTCTCATGTGATCACCCTCTTATGGTGTATGATTCATCACGAGTAAGATAACATCTTCAATGATAGAAAAAATACAATGTATAATTTGTAATTTGACTTGAAAATAAAAATAGAAGCTGTATTGGAAGGTATTCACTCATTATAGCGTTCATGTGAGAGCTTTCAACAAGGTCACTATAACATACTGTATGGTATTTGATATGGAGTTACTTCCCTAACAACATTTTTTATTACTTTTGAGTGATACATGCTGGTTCATTTTGGATACCGGTACTTGTACACTTAGACAACTGATTAATGAATAAACAATGTAATAGGCAGATCCCTCATACACTACAGTTCAATATTATTTATTAAGTGCTAATAAATACACAACAATAATATTTATTAAGCGAT